TGGGGGTTGCCCTGACCCAGGTGCAGGACCTTGCACTTGGCCTTGTTGAACCTCATGAAGTTCGCACAGGCCCACCCCTCCAGCTGTCCAGGTCGACCATCACACTCCTGCTCTTAGCTGGCCAGTTTTCAGCCAGTCAGCTGCTTGGTGCTGCCTTGCTACATGGTTACAGCTGTGGTTACACCACACCATAAAGGTAGGACAATGTAATAGCCACAGTCCAAATTTACAGTATCTTAACAGCCAAAAAACTGTATCTGAAGATCAAGGTACTAGGGAATGAAGAAGGGCAAGCACTCTGTTGTGCAAATTCACTTTACCAAAAGGCTGAATCCTTTGGTAATGGTGGTAGACAACACTGTTCAGCAAGTGCAACATGTAACTGATCACACGCAGCAGTGGATTGAACTAGGGTGGCCAATACAGCCACCATCCTAAGTTCTTCCGTCATCCCCCTTCCCCAGGGGCTGTTGACAAGTTGCAGAACACTAGTATCAACTGAGCTACCGCCTATTTATTCCCAGTGGGTTACACTGAAATTCACAGGGGATTTGCTGTGTTCCCTGTGCAACCATCCCCACAGCAGGGGGTACAACTGCCTCTGGAACAGTAGGGTGGTAATCGCATCAACCACCTCACCTTTTGCTCCACAGGGTGCAGACTGCCACGCAGCACCTGCCTGTCAATTGCCTTCTCCTTGGGAAAGAATGACAACAAAAACCCAATAAAGCCATGGATCCTAAAAGATCTTAACTACTGCCACCTTCATGCTTCTCAATGAAGTGTTAACGCTCAGTCTAAAATTTCAATTGGAAAAGGAAAATGTTGACCAATGCCAGTTAATTTGTGCTTTGGGAAATAAAGTGTTCTATGAGAAAAAAATGCTGAAGGAAAAGAATCTGTCAGCAAGCCATGAAGAACATACAGAGAAAAGATGCATGATTTGAAGCTTTTTTATCTAAAGATAAATTTGCTAAACTTCAGATTAAATACTTAGATAGCTGGTTTGGGCATGCATAGCCCTAGTTACGCAGATAAAACTGAGGAACTGTAAATTTTCTTTTAAAAGATAAGAACTTAAAAGTTTCTACTTTTCAGGTTATTCTGGAACGAAGTAATTCTACAAAGACTTTTTCATTTATTATGGGTCTGTGAGCTTTGAAAGTATTCTGCACCCTCTGTGTATTCATTTTTCTGGGCTTCCTGTGAAGTCTATAGTCCAACTAATTCACGAAAGATTGAAATGAAGCCATTTAGGCTTTTTACTTTCTGGGGTAGAAAGTGCATCCTTGGTCAATACTATTTTTCTCCTTTTATTATTGTTTTCCAGTTTAACAGCTTTCTTATCATGATTCTGATAAATTTCAGAGGAAAAATAATTTCAAATTCAATTGTTTATAGTGATCCAAGAAATTTCTAAGAAAGAAAAGCTGGGGCTTAGCATAATAAGAAGAAACACAGGAGTCCCTCTGGGAACTTAGTGACTTCCAACATTTCTTATATGATCTTTTGCTCTGTATTGATGCTTCTTAATTTCTTTTCATCAAGAGCAGAGCATGTGTGCTGTTCTCTACAAGGATCCTCCAGTTTCTTTCTGTAAAGACTACCAACTTTTATCATTGGTCTTACACTTTAAAGTAGAATTTTAGTTTGTGTGTGTCTGTGTGTGTGTGTCCCCATATTCATAGGGGTTGATATATCATCTAAATCAGGGTCTCTGAAATATAACTACTTCATTCTTGTTCAAAGCAACAAATCTATTCTCAAGGATTTAATACAAACCAAAATCCACACCTGAAAACATTCTCACAAAAGCATTCCTCTGTTCTAAGTTCTGTTGTAAAACACCTACTTTTAAGGGAAGCAAAACATACATTAGGTATAATCTTCTGTGAGAGGTTTCTGTAAAATTTCAAATTTCCAAAGTGCTAGAGACTGGAAAAGAGAGACAACAGAGAGGAGTGCACAACCCAAAGCAGTTTCTTTTACAAGACAAACCCATCTTAATACTTCAAAAAGAACAGAGCTGAAGATGACTCTCAATAAACGAATGACTTTTCATTTGTGAATCCAGTATTTCAAAACAGGTCCGTCTGGTACTGCTTCATGAAGTATCAGATCTAGCCCAAATTTAAATAAGCAGGGCTGCACTGCCACTTCTGAATCACATGCCTAGGAGCACCCAAGCTATATCAGTCCTTACTCCCCATATCCTGGTGTCTGCATCTGTCTCAAGGATTTCTGGCTTTAAGAAGTGATCCTACTGCCTGGTTGAGAACAAATAAATTCATAAACAAGAACAGTCACCTGCCTTCTTTATCACAGCAGTTAAGTCAGGAGAGCTTTTGTCTTCCTGATACCAAGGATATCTGGAACTGCAACTTCTCAAACTCCCAGTTCCCAGT